TTAGTCCCATGTACATTATGACTAGAACATTCTTATCCAATTTAAATCCGTTGCTACGAGTCCTATCCTGCTTTATCTATATCGCCTTTATTGATTCCTTTCACCCACTTAAATACTTCTATCATATCTCCCCTCACTCTTCGTCCTTCTAGGGAATGCAAGTTTAGTTTCTTTAACCTATCTTGATATGGAAGGTTTCTAAGTCCCAAATCATTTTCGTCATTCTTCGCTGCACGGACTCCAGTGAATTGATATCCATTCTATAATAAGGGCACCAGAACTGAACCGCATAATCGAGGTGCGGCCTGACTACCACAAGATATAGTTGCAATATGACCTCTGCACTCTTATTACTTACACTTCTAGATATAAAACCTAATACTCTGTTTGCCTTATTTCGAACATTAATGCACTGTTTTCTAGGCCGAGGGTCCGGGCTTACAAGTACCCCTAAGTCTCTTTCACAAGTCGACTTCTCTAGGTTGATGTTGTTAAGGCTGTATACATTGACAGTATTTGTTCTTCCACTATTAAGTACACTGCACTTGCTAGTGTTGAATTTCATTTGCCATTTATCTGACCACTCCTGCAGTTCATTAAAACCTTCCTGTAGTGCATTTGCATCCTTGTTACCGTGTGGCATCACAAAAATTGTGACCAAGTCCCAGGTTGCTGACCTAACTTTCTGCCTCATTTACACACAATTGCAGGGTCTCAATTGTTTCTAATATACTATAGGACTAGACGTGTGTCTGTCTGTCTGTGTGTGTCTGTTCTGGGCAGCCGAAACGGCACAATCGTTTTTCATCAAACTTGGTGGAAAAATCGCAAAAATATTCGTAGAGTGGAACAAACCTGGTTCCATGTCGATGGTTTCTTTAGGAAGGCATTAATTAACCATTTTGATTAAGCTGGCAAAAGATGTCGCTGTACGCTGTCAGCCGGACGATTGCAGTTATCGTACTGCTCCCTCCTCCTCCCCCCACTTTTTCTCTTAGCCTACTTTTTTTTCATGTTGTTTGGATTAGTAAAGGAAGGAAGATGAGTAAATAGAAGAATAAAGAAGGAGAAACAGAAAATAGTTAGAGATAACAGGTGGGGGGAGCCGAGTTTCATCATGCGTCTGGATGCGCAGTTTCAACGTTACCAGAGCATTTTCGGACCTTGAGAGGCTACTGTGTATACTGTACTTATTCCCGTGACTGACTGTACATGCAAAAGGAGAAGAGATAAAAAGATAATAACAGGAATGCATGGAGAAGATAGAAAGGAAGAAGAAGAGAGACTGAAGAATTATTATCCTTAAGAGGCGAGCGAGGAAAGGAGATGGGAGAGAGGGATAGTGAGAGGTGGAGGTATGAATGGAGGGATGTGTTTTATAAAGTTCCCAGAATACCATATTAAAATCACCTATTTAATAAGGAAGAAAAAGTGCTAAATATGATGAGTAGTGTAATGGAGAGAGAGATATATAAATAAAGATAGAGATAGTACGGATAAAAATGGAGAGAAAGAGAAGCGGACAAACAAAAGACATAGACATAATACAGACAGATTCAAAGACACACAGAAAGACAGACAGATAGACAGACTTATGAAAGACAAAGACAACATATAAGACAGACACGTACATACAGACAGACAGACATGGCTACAATAGACACAGGGTGAATATAGACAGTGAAACAGACAGGAGGTTGACAAAAAATAGACAGATTCATACATGCAGCAAATAGACAATATTGCAACTAACATGACAGACAGACACACAGACAGGCTGACAGCTGACTGACTGGTTCACATAAAATAAACAGGCAGACAGACGCCAACAACGGGTAAGACAGACAGATTTGACGACACAAGGAGTACAGACGGGCTTACAGTCAAACACCACGCAGACGAACAGACAGTTGGGATGGCCATAGACAGGACGGATAGACTTGAGACAGATTAGAAGGCATTTATAAACAAGAATAACACCAAATTGACCAGAGCTGCGTCAGTGAGGGTAGCTGGTCTTACACCCACTCTCGTAAATAATAAGACGCATTGAAAACTACTAACACCCTCACTCGGAAAGAACATAGATGGTCGGTCAGTCATGTGAGATGGGCCTAAAACTGACTAACGTAGACGATGACTATGATGACTGAACACAGGTGATGACTTAAGCAGATGGTGACTAATCTAACCAGAATCAAGATCACTTCTCTTCATAATATAATTTATCTGGGAATGATCATCGGTGATTCAAAATTTTTTTTTTTTTTTTAGGATTTTAACCTCTCCTTATGGCGAATATTTCTTTAACTAGTTATTCTAACCTTTATTCTATTCCCTCCTATAGTATACTAGATACTTACAGTATCCGTAAGACATTAGCTATTGGAAATGTGATTAAATGTTTTGTTATTAATCCAATGTGAAATGTATCGGTATTGGTGGTACAATCCTAATGGTCTCTAATCCTGTTGATTAGGTGAGGTTAATCTGGGTTTGAGATTAAAGATTAGGTGTGGGGTTTATTCTACCTGTGTTAGTCTCAGGTATGACCCTTATTGTAACAATCACGACCATGACTATAACAATCACGACCATGATTATAACAACCACGACCATGATTATAACAATCACGACCATGATTATAACAACCACGACCATGATTATAACAACCACGACCATGATTATAACAACCACGACCGTGATTATAACAACCACGACCATAATTATAACAACCACGACCATGATTATAACAACCACGACCATGATTATAACAACCACGACCATGATTATAACAACCACGACCATGATTATAGCAACCACGACCATCTGGAAAACGATGTCGCTGTACGTTGTCAGCCGGACAATGGTTGCGCGCCAGCCAAGCACGAGCGTTCGAACTTTCACTCCTCGGTAAACTGTACGACCAGACTCGCCACCGGGCACGAAGGGCCCACGATCACTGTCTCTTACTATTGACAACACAACATACTGTACATATATCGTTTCTCACTACTGATATTTTTATTTATGTTTTATTTATTTATGGTCCTTTATTATTATTATTATTATTATTATTATTATTATTATTATTATTATTATTATTATTATTATTATTATTATTATTATTATTATTATTATTATTATTTTTATTATTATTATTATTATTATTATTATTATTATTATTATTATTATTATTATTATTATTATTATTGTTATTATTATTATTATTATTATTATTATTATTATTATTATTATTATTATTATTATCATTATTTTTATTATTATTATTATTATTATTATTATTATTATAGGCTTTTTTTATTTTTTATTTTAATTTTATTACTATTAATATTATTATAATTTATTATTATTGTCATTATTATATTTTTGCACCCCCAGGCCCTGATGCGGGTTATTGACCTGTGTCCTGCTGGGCTAATCCCGTAAAAAAAAAGATAGATAGATAGATATTCTGTTAAATCGTCATACAAATTCACATTGATTCAATATGTTCATTCTAGGGTATCCTGTTTTGAGGGTTTCTTAGCATCCCGGGATTCTGGGATTTCCCGCATCAGGTGATATTTGTACTAACTAATGCTATATACTAACCCTATACTTCATTAGTGTAGTATCTGTAGATTATTTGATAGGTAAATGATTTGATAAATTATATTACACTGAAGCAAAGTTCTCTTTATTAACTTGCACACTGGTGTAAAAATAGGTACATGATATGATTAAACAAGCAAAATTTTAATTAATCTCATTCCGTTAGCCATGAAAGAAACTCCGACATTTGGAATGGCATGGTTAATTTATCATACCAGTCACATGTCCGTACTCCGCATCATGCAAGCCAAGATACACCATTATACTGTATCATGGCTTGCATTTTGGCATCATATACAGACAGATTACTCCACAGTCAACACACCTCTCCACTCTGCAGGGATATAAGCTCGACGAAGGCCAGTACCCAAGCAAGACGTGGTGAAGGCCAGACTCGCTCACTAGCCGCCCCCCCCCCTCTCTCTCTCTCTCTCTCTCTCTCTCATACGTTTTTGTATTTTACACAGTGCAAATCAGAGAAAAGGAATAACAATAAGAATCCCGGGATTTGAACCAAATTCCCGGGAAAAAACATAACCACTTACGCCAGGGAAGGAAACCCTAGTAGATTCCCCTTCACAAGTGGTAAGCAGACCTGTTATTACCTAAAATAGTGTTTAATGTCGGGACTTTCATAATGCAAATGATATCAAGGCATTAACACTTCAGAGAGGTTGTTAGAAAACTTTAAATATTTATCATAAAAGGTTGATATAAATACACGCTTATATACGTGGAGTCCAGGGGGAGGTAAGACGCTCAGGGGAACCAATCAGCTATTTGTAGCTAAAGACGAGGGGCGGGGCTTATGGGCCAGGTTAGCGTGGAAATACTATAGTGCGTTTATAAGGATTCGTCAGGTTTTGTGCAGTGTGGCAGCCCTGTGTTTGTTTACATTCGACAGAAGGAACTCGCAATAGTAAACATACTATGGAATTATATGAAAACAAGATTAAAACAAATATCTCAATGTGGAATGTTTATATGACGAGCCCCGTAAACGCACTAGTGAAGGGGACTGTACATACATGGAAAGTACAGGTACACAAAGAATGGTAAATAGTAATTCTATTTATCAGAGGATAATCTCAAAAGGACACTGTGATCATATCCCCGTTCAGGTGCATAATTAAGTTGGTGGTCGTGGTAGTCATGATGATGGTAGGTGTGATAGCCATGGTGATGGTGATTTTAGAGGTAGTGAAGGTGATGATAATGAATTTTGATGCACCATGAGTCATTAATTTTTGAATAGTATATTATTTATATATATATATATTCTTTTATTTATTAAAACATTAGATATGTTTTTGTTGTTTGTGTTTATCGTACTTATAAAGTTTATCAATAATATTAATAATTTTCTTCTCTTACGAATTCCACAGCGGCATTCGTTATACCCTACCTAATTTTGTTGTTAATGGTTGGACTACCCATCTTCTTCATGGAGCTCGCCCTCGGCCAATATATCAGTCTCAGCCCCGTTGTTCTCTTCCCCAAGCTGGCGCCTATATTCTCTGGTAAGACACTTGATTTACTTGTTTTCCATCACCTTCCTCCCCCCTCCCGGTGCGAGGTGTGTGCATCAGAATAATGTTAGTGTTAAGGTGCAGGCATTGCTTGCTTCCTCTAGTTTTCAGCTACTGCCGCTGGCTAGTCCTCGTGGTGAATAGGGAAGCAACCATGCATAAGTCCTCCCCTGCCAGTACACAGCCTCTTCACCATCAAGACTCCTGCTGTGCCTCCTCGTGGTAACACACGGTAACTGGGTGCCTTGTAGCCCCAGGCTAGATTAGCAGGGGATCTCAGAGCAGCAGTGTTGCCCTAGAGGGACGGCGCATAGGCCCACTGGCATGTGGACACATCCTGGCGCCTACCTGCCATTCCCTTGCTGCCTTGCAGATTAACCTTGGTAGGTACAAGGCTACAGGAGTAAACCCTGAACGAAAAATTTGCAGTGGAGCCCCGTATCAGGCAGACATGCTTACAGAGCTCCAACAGCACCCCAACGGCGCAATAGGCAAAAGAGGTGACCAACACGGGAACCCAATGACGACACCGGCGGATGAAGGCAATGCTTGATGGACAGGCTACTAAGGCAAACCCCAACAAACTGGACTATCAGCAGTCCATTGCACCTCTTCCTCTCCCCAGTTGTTGCAGCTACCTACACCACTGGATCAGGAAAAGGAGAGTCAAGATGTGTGGTTAAAGCCTGCACTCCTGCCTCACCACATAAATCAACTCACACACAGCCATCATTCAGCTCATCATACTTCTCATCATCATCAAAACCCCTAAACCCCCAAAAGTCCTATGGCGACGGACGAGTGGTGACGGGGACAGGCAGAGGTGACTCCTGGGAGTCTCTAGTCACAACTCTGCACATGGGCGGCACAGATAAGATGGTCGTTTATGCACTGGGATCTAGGCAGCAGTGTAATCCGATCCTGTCTGTACGACTGAGCAGCCCTTTCCAGGAGCCTCTCTGCTCACCCCTAAACATAACCTGCGTAAAATACTTACCTGACTGGGCAATCACACCCAGTAAGGTCATCCTTATGCAGTTGAAAACTTAACCACAGATCAAATAAAAAACGAACTGTACAACTTCTTATGGTCGCTGCATGGAATGTCAGGACCCTTCTGGATACTGGCATAAATAAACGCCCTGAAAGAAGAACTGCCTCTGTGGCAAAAGGGCTGGCTATGTATAACATCGACATAGCAGCCATTAGTGAGTCCCGACTCCCAAACGAGTGTCAACTCACAGAACGGGGGTCTGGCTATACCTTCTTCTGGGAGGGTAAGCCTGCTACCGAGAGAAACCAGATTTATGGAGTTGGCTTTGCCATTCGCCAGTCCATCCTACATAGTCTAACTGAAATGCCTGTTAGAGTCAACTAGCGCCTCATGACGCTCTGCATCCCACTGCATCACTCGCGTCATGCCTTCTTCATCAGTGCATACACCCCAACACTGGATGCAGAGGATGACATGAAAGATGCCTTTTATGCCGACCTTGACAGAGTGCTTACCTCTATCCCCAGAGAAGACAAGGTTGTGCTCCTTGATGACTTCAATACTAGAGTTGGCAGAGATGCTAGCTTATGGCAGGGAACCAGGATAAATGGAGAGGGCAAGTGTAATGCCAATGGCCTACTCCTCCTCAGTAATTGTGCTGAATACAACAACTCTTCACGATGCCCTAAAATGGCAAAGGCAACAAGCCTCCGGAAGAGGTTTTAACACCAAGTGCCAGGAGGATCAAGCGGTAGAACATGCTTTCAAAGAGCAACTCAACGATGGGCTGATAAACAACCCAACAAAAAACAATTTAAATCCAAGTGCCGAATGGGGTATCCTCGACTCTGTCGTCACAAAAATCCTGTAGCGAAACCCTCGGCCAGATCAAAATAGAACACCAGGATTGGTTTGATGAAAATAACTAGGAAATCGACGTACTCATCCATGGCACAATGGCACCCAGTCTGTGGTCTTCCCCATCCAAACAAGGGGTAAAACAAGGATGTGTACTGACACCAACTCTCTCTTCCATTTTCTTGGATGCCTTCCTCACTCGTTCCAATGCCAATTTAGCCACTGGTGGACATCCAGTACCAGATGAAGGGTCTTTTCAACATAAGACGACTTCGGGCAAAAACAAAGGTGTCGGCAGCTTTCATCACTGAACTTCAGTATGCAAACGACCTCACCCTTGTCTCTCACACTGAACGTGACCTGCAGGTGATCCTGAACACCTGCGCAGATGCGTATGCACACTTCGGCCTTGAGGTGAATGTACGTAAGACTCAGATTCTCTTTCAGCCTGCCCCTGTTTCAGACACACCTCCACCATCCATCCAGCTTAACGGCACTACCCTCTCTAATGCTATCCACTTTCAGTATCTCGGCTCCCACCTGTCCACCACCACGGACATCGATGAAGAGATTCAACATCAGATCAGATGTGCATCTCAAGCCTTTGGCAGACTCCGTACCAGTGTCTTCAGCTGTAGGGAGCTGAAATTATCTACAAAGCTGCACGTACGAGTATATCGAGCAGTGGTCTTCCCCACCCTGCTGCATGACAGCGAGACATGGGTCACATAGAGGAGACACCTCAAGGCACTTGAAAAGTTTCACCAACGTAGTCTACGTTTCATCCTCCGAGTTCGCTGGAAAGACAAGAGAATAAATGCCAGTATTCTCGCTGACACCAACTGTAGGAGCATCGAGGTTACCATTATCCATGAACAACTACGTTGGACCTTACAGTAGCCTAACGAATGGAAAACGGAACACTGGCAGGCAACGGAAAAGGTGCCAAATCGACCCCCTCACCTAGGAGACGATTACTACACAGCAAATGAGTAGTAGCAGTAGAGTGATTTGGTAGCTTGTTCGTCAGGAACAGAAAACTTTCATTTACTTCTATCTCTCTCTGTAAATAAAGTAAATTATTATTATTATTATTATTATTATTATTATTATTATTATTATTATTATTATTATTATTATTATTATATTGTTATTATTATTAGTTAACTATATTAAGCATCTTGCCATGACCCCAAGGGGACTAAAATAATAATTTTGGAACACTTATAAGAGTTTCTCCCACAGGTCTTGGCTGGGGTATGGTAGCAGTTTCTTTCTTCACCACCATATACTTCAACGTCATCATAGCATGGACATTCTTCTACACCTTCTCTTCCTTTACCTCTGAGATCCCTTGGAGCACCTGTGATAATGACTTCAATTCCGTGGGTGAGGTTGTGTTGAGGAGTAGAAGCGATTCACTGGTTATAACAACAGTTTGTATGTTACCAAATGACCGCGTATATCTATTCATACATAACGATAAAGCGGTGTTGTTTAGTAATTAAATCTGAGTAAACTTTTGGTATGATTGTGACACCTATATAGGAAACTAAATGTTAATCCATCATGTTGACGGCGCTGTGGTCCTCCCCTCAGAGTGTTTCACGTCTGAATTCGCCAAAGTCTGCAGGAACCAGTCTCTCTTCTACTACAACACGAACTGCCTGAATGCCCAGGAATATTGTAGTCTAGCCTCCCTCAGTGCTTACAACACAACTCACTGCTTCGACCCCCTGGAGCCTGATTTTATTAAGGCAGCAGCGGGCTCAGTCTACAGGATTTCTGCCAGCGAGGATTTTTTCAGGTAAACTCTACATTATTTTTTTTTTTAATTTACTCTTTTATCATTTCCTTTGGTGCTTTTTACAACACTAGATATTATGACCAACAGGAACCGTATGCTGGGTGTGACTGGGAAGAGCTGGGAGAATATGGGAGGGTTACGTTGGGAGCTCGTGGGTTGCCTTGCTCTGGCTTGGGTCATCGTGGGTGCCTGTCTAATCAAAGGTATCAAGACCACTGGCAAAATCGCTTACTTTACCGCCCTCTTCCCTTACATTGTCCTAGTAATTCTCTTCATCAGAGGTGAGTAGCTGCTTTTGTTGTTGTTATTATTATTATTATTATTATTATTATTATTATTATTATTATTATTATTATTATTATTATTATTGTTGTTGTTGTTATTGTTGTTATTACTATTATATGTACAGGTATCACGTTGGACGGAGCTTACCAGGGCATAGAGTTCTACCTTCTGAAGCCCAACGTGACGCGGCTGATGGAGGTTGAAGTGTGGGGAGACGCCGCCGGACAGATTATCTTCTCACTCGGGATCTGTTTTGGGTGTCTTATCACTCTTTCTTCTTACAACAAGTTCAACAACAACTGTATGAGGTGAAAAGACTTCATGCTGTTGTGTTTGTCACTGATCTGGAAAGGGTTTTAGGCTCTTTACGTCTCTCTTCCATTACCTGCAGTCAACGTCCAATACCATCACCTCTTATAACACTCTTCGTGGATCTCTCTCGTCTAGGAGGAGGTCAGAGAGAGGTGTGAAGTTCAGTGTCGACAAGAGGCGTGAGAAGTAGATCCGTAGATAAGTTGATGATAAATTAGATTGTATTAATTGTATAGAAAAAATGAGACCAGTACAAGCAACGTATAAATATTTTTTTTGTTTTTACACCAATATCAACTAAATCAAATATCAAGGTTTTATGATTAACACTAATTATATTCTTTTTTAAATGGTGTACCCTTATCCTTAATCAACATGTAAAAGAGTATCATTGTATGAAATTTGAATAAAATCTACATAATGACCTCGTAAGCCGAAACGCAAGGTCAGGCGTTTCTGGCTTTTTTTCTGGAAGATGAAAAATATCATGGCAGAGTGAAATCACAGGGTCTTATACTGAAATCATTTCATACAATGTCTTTATCTTCGCGTATGACTACAAGTTTTGAGAATAGCAATAGGGCAGCTCTCCTTAGACGA